ACCCGCAAATTGGAGACTGTGTGTGGTGTTAGTCGACGTACTGTCCAACGGATTCTAAAGGCCCATAGTTTTCATCCGTATAAAATTCACCTGGTACAAGAACTTAATGAAGACGATTTTGATCGGCGATTACAATTTTGTGAAGATATGATTGAACGAATTATAAACGATGAACATTTTCTATTCAACACTTGCTTTTCCGACGAATGTTCCTTTTTCTTAAATGACGTAGTAAATCGACGTAACTGCCTATATTGGTGTCCGATTCTAATCCCAGAATTTATCATGAGGTTCATACACAGCAGCCACAGAAATTAAATGTTTGGGCTGGTATTTTTGGCGATCATTTAGTTGGTCCTTTTTTCTTACCGGGAAATTTGACCGGTGAAATGTATTTGGAATTACTGGAAGACGCCATAGATTCTGCATTAACAGCCATAATTGAAAATCAGAATGATCGGCGGTACATTGCGAATAGTTTGATGTTCCAACAGGATGGTGCTCCACCACATTACGCATTACGTGTTCGACAATATTTAGATCAGACGTTTCCAGATCGATGGATTGGTAGAAGAGGTGCCATTGAATGGCCCTCAAGATCGCCAGATTTATCACCTTTGGATTTCTCTATGTGGGGTCATTTAAAAAACAAAATATATGCTACTCAGCCAACATCATTAGAACACCTGCGACAAAGAATTGTGAATGAGTGCCTTCAAATTACTCCTCAAATAATGCAAAATGTGCGGCAACGTATTGAGCAAAATCTTTATTATTGCATGGAGAGTCATGGTGGCAATTTTCAACATTTACTTGCCTAACGGATCAGTTCATTCTTCATTTTTAAATTACTGTGCTGCCAAATGTATTGATCTCCACTAATGATGATGTATTAGTTTTATTTAAGATTTAAATCAATAAATCTCCAAACTACTAAGCGTTTTAAAAAAAAAAATGCGTCTGTTTCGTTTTCGATGCGCCACCTTGTATATATGTTTGCCATCATATTTATGTAACTGCAGTAGGTACCTCTGATTTATAATAATTAAAATAAACGAAACTGCCTTTGCCGATACACACCGGTCTGGAAGAATTCTCAGAACTGAGTTCGGACCCCGGCCAACTTCAAATCCTAGAAAAACGTCTGTCGTCTGGTATGCAATGTGGCAATTGTTTTGACCAGTCTTCGCGGATCTTTTACACGGGCTTTTCGGAAGCGTTATTTTCAGTGTTTTCAAAAGGAAAATTCGGCCGCACCCGGAAAAGTGTGTTCGTGGCATGTAGATTAAGTGTTTGGTCAGTTTTTGTAGTGGCTTGCACCTTTGATTACGGGAAGACTGAAGGAAAACTTCAGAGATACCGCGGACTTGTTATACGGGCTCTTCGGCAGCGCTAATGTCTGTGTTTTCAGACGGTAAAGTCTGTCGTAGGAAAATGTGATAGTGGCTTGTGGAATAAGTGCTTGTAGTGACTTGCAACTTTGGATTACGGGAAGAATGAATTAGAACTTCGCAGATACCGCGATACTGGAATGGCAGGAAAATGGTGAGTGCTAATTTATTTCATTTTTACCTATTTTGATAGGGTGGGCACTTTCGGTGCTGTTGCGTTTTGTAGAACTTCCGATTTCACATTATTTTAAAACAAGAAAAGTGTGGATGAAGCACTTTTTTCATGAAAAATGTTTCCCAAAAAACTGTATTTTTAACAGTTTTTCCACCATTAACTCCACCGCCATCTGCCGTATGACGTTGACGTCTGTGCATGTCATAGTATATGAGAGGCGCTTGCCTGCACTGTTGCCAGATTGGGCTCCACATTTAGGGGAAAATATGAAAAGTGGAAAATTTATATACGTATAATAAATAATGAAACACAAAAGCGAAAAACTGAAACAAACAACAGTGGCAAAATAAAAAGCGATGCTTAATAATTATAAAACAAAACATAACAGTAGTAAACTAAAAAACAATTATAAATAATTATAAAAACAGTAAAACAAGAAACAATTCCATGTAATTATAAAAAACAAAAAAACGACAAAGTAAAATAACAAGCAATTCTAAGTTGTAACAAAAAAAGAACAGTAGTAAAACAAAAAAAAAACAATTTCATGTAATTATAAAAAACAACAAACAGTAAAATAAAAAGCAATTCTAATTGATAACAAAACAAATCCAAAAACTAAAATGAACAGAAAGTATTCAATATTAAAAGGTATACTTTGCGGCAATTTGTCGCAATATATTTTTGAATCGGTCTTCGGGTCTAGGACCATACAGCCAATCAACTGGTCAATATATTCGGGTAAATGAGGCTATTGCATGATACCCAGCCGCCTCAAACAATTGCTTTAATCTAGACCAGTGCCCTTCAATTTCATTGTGCACACTCCTGTCACTGGATCCACAAAATTTAGTGTGCGGTTCAATGTTTCATGAATGTCATACGGCGGATGGCGGTGGAGTTAATGGTGGAAAAACTGCTAAAAATACAGTGATTTTGGAAAAAAATTTCATGAAAAAAGTGCTTCATCCACACTTTTCTTGTTTTAACATAATCTATAAGACTACCCTCTATAAGTTTCAAGTGAAAAAACAGTGAAATCGCAAGTTCTACAAAACGCAACAGCACCTGCAATTTTTTTTGAAATCTGCTTATAGTGTGTAGTGTGCACAGAATCAGTTTATCTCAAAAGATTAAAATTACATATCAGAAAATCGTTATAAGCGGTATCGGGGTATCTACATTGGGGTGAGCGCTTATCAGCAAAATATAGGGGTGAAAATGACCCCTTGATACTTAGGCCTTCAGTATATGTTTTGGACTTTCTCTGCTACTATATACTATACTATGTGTTACTGAGTGAGATCTGGTATGTAAAAATACAACCCTTTCCTTCCATCACTACGTTGCATTGGGAAGATTTTTGCCGTGTGCCCATATGGTAAATACGGAATAGTGTGTAATAATTGTCTTCCAAAGATGATATCGTTTCTAACAATTTTAATTATAGGTTTCTGTGAATCTTATGGTTGGTGGCGCGGTTATGGCTGTATCACACGAAAAGCAGAATTTAAACATGAATATTTCATTACAAAATGGAAAAATACAATTGATGTCCTTGTTTCGATTCAAAGAAAAGAGGCGTATGGTATTCATTATCCAAGGTTGGAACGTGAAAAATTCACATGGGGGAAATTATCCTATATCGCCGTTTCACACATACTTATATGGAAGTTACTCATGAATTTGTGTTAAAATGGGCAATGTTACATCACAATGTAAGAATATCAATATTGGTGTCCCTCAAGGTGGAGTGTTATCACCTTTTATTCATCATGACATGGACGAATATATTAAAGTTGGTGACATTTTCCTTGTGTGAACTTGATGTTGATGACCAACTCAGTATTAGATCAGTTTCAATCTCCAATGTGTTATGTTTTTTTTATGCTCCAACCACCACGAAGGCCTAAGGCCTAAACACCCAGGGGGTACCGAGTGGCTGTAGGGGATACAGGGGAAAAACATGCACACATTCTGGCCCCGCCTACGAGATCCGCCGGGTGGTACCTCCGCTTGCGACAATCAGAGACCGTCTACCACTTACGGACAATCACAGCATCCATAGCCAAGAGAAAAATTTCTCTTGGGACGGGATTCGAACCCGCACAGCGCACGGCGACTGATCAGGAGACCGAAGAGTCTACTACTGCGGTCACCGCTGCTGCCTTCCTGTGAAATAATGATTTTCTTGAATATATAATGCAGATGAAACTTTTAGACTTATGAGTGATCATCACAAACTGGTTCATGAAAACTGGAAAAACACTAGATCCGATGATGACTTCTCCGATTAAATATCAGTCTATTTGAAAAGTCCCGTGGGTAGACTGAATGAAAACCCGTTAGAGATTTGGACAGAATTTCAATTTTCAAAAGCAGCGCTTAATGTGTGTGACTGTGGCTTGATTTGACCATACAATGGAGTGCTATGCACAGTTTTAGTAGTTACATTTTTACAGGGCCTCCCATCCAGCCGAGGCCCTGGGCTTCATTTTGAAGCCATAAATCTACCCAGAACAGCTGTCACGTCATGCCGGTGGATTGATATGCAATCTTTGACTAGTAATACTGCGTATGCATTGTTCATGGATCTAGTAGACTACCCTCTATGTACAATAGAGAAACTAAACGGATCAAGTCAGTCAAACAGGTCCATACGATTAGTTCATAGACAATCTCTCCCTGCTCTACCGGTAGTTGGAACTCACCCAGCAGGACAGAACTCTAATCTGCTCCATACAAAACAAGCAACTACTACTAGACTACCTCCTATGTGCAATAGAGAAAATCTTAAACCCATGTCGCCATTTTGAAATCGAGCAAACCACTCGTACACCTGCGTTTTTCCCATAGCAACATCTTTTTAAGCTATTTTCAACGTTAAAACAGTTTCAGCAACATTCTTACCAATCAGAAAGCAAAATTTCACAGCTGCACGTTGCTCACTGAAGCACACCATCGTAAAAAATAAAAAACCAAACAAGCACGAAACAGCCAGATGGCACTGATCTGGTAATGAGTTGCGCTGTACGCCTCTAGGGGCATAAATGTGTACTACACAAGCTCCGCCCACCGCAATGCTATTCTAGTTATTTTTGGGTACCTCCTCGTATAACATCCAAAAACATCTCATTTCCGTCACTGGGCTTGGGAAGTAAAATTAAATATCGATGAACACTGGAAAAATCAAATACGGTTTTTTCTCACATGGGATATGTCACAAATAACAGGATTAGTGACAAACCACGCGAACATTCTTAAAAGTTGAATAAGACCAACGGCAATATTTTTATTTACAGCAGGTATAACGAACCAGATCTTCCAAGAATTCCGTGACCGACTCTCAGACATCATGGGGATTTCGGGTAATTCACGTTTTTTATAATAATGATTCAAGATATTTGTAATAATGATATAAGATTATTACTCACCTACATCGAATGTAAGTAGTCTAGCACGGATGTCATCGCCATCTTCAGCGTTTACGTCGTTATCAACCGTCTCCAGATAGCTGGTCATCATCTTTGTGTATTCAGCCAAACTGATGTTTATCTGCGGACCAAAATAGACATTCTGTAATCATTTTTGTATATTTAGTTGGAGAGGTCGCGACCATAGCAGGGAAACTCCAACCCACTTGATCAGAAGAATTTTGTTATACTTATGGTTAACAATCCGGCCAAACTTAAGAGGTGATTCTCATAGAGAGACAAAAAAGGTTTATGAATATAGGTCCGATACATTTTTTTGAAACATCGTAAAATCTAAATAATTTTACATCCGCTTTTATTGAAGTTTGAAGTTGGACTTACATGTCTACAGATGTAACTCTTCAAAATCTTATGGGAAAGGCTTACGACCAATTAAAAAAAAAAACAGTATGTTGTAAGTCTCGACACGTAGAACGGGTGTCAATGAGCTATTTTAGCTCCGAAGTACCTACAGATTAAATTTTCGAATACCAAAGTCTCACATAGAATCTTCAAGTTATTGTAATGGAACCTCTAAAAAATTCGACAACTTAATATTTAGCTTGGTCAGTTTTATTCGCCACAAACCCTGTGATAAATTATTTGATACACTATGTGTAAAGTACACATTCTCGGAAAAGCAGCAAATGAAATCGAAAAAGAACCTAATTATTTGCTTTCGAAAATGACCAATTTCTTCAACAGGACATATTAGAAAGAGTATACGAGGGGGTACCCAAAAATAGCCGGAATAGCATTGCAGTGGGCGGAGATTGTGTAGTACACATTTCTGCCCCTAGAGGCGTACAGCGTAACTCATGCACTTCCCATGCAACGTCATCAGTTCATAAAAGATTGACTTCAGCGCAATTCAAATTCTTTGAGAAAGGTCAGTTACGAACATGTACAACAGAGAAATTAAACGGATCAAGTCAAACAATTAGTCCATAGACATTATTTCCCTGTCATACCGATAGTTACTGTCCATTTGGCAACGTTGTCCCTGTCTACATCTGCACGGCAGCTCCAAGTAGGGCATCGCTGCAGCCTGTTATAGTTCGTCTAGTGCACGGTTCGTGTACGTGTGTATGTTTTTAGCGGTGCATAGCCCGGTGTTGAGGTTAGATAGCACGAGCACGCAGATCGAAAACGTTTAACTATCACTTTGAGTTTGAGTTTCAAAGGCATATGATGTGTAAAATATTCATAGAGCATATAAATATACTAATATCGAACATTTTTCTTATAACCTCCCCCACCCCCCAAAATTCAGTGACATCTGTCAGATGTGTATATGTTTATTAATATCTCAGCAGCTAATTCCGTTTGTTTAACTATGAAATTCAATAAGTTTTACGGCTGATCATTCGTTATGGAAGAGACATAAATGTTAAGTATGATCGTTCGCAGAAAATAAACAGGCCCATAAACCACTAACAAATGTCGAATAATGATGTGAGATGAGTTTCTTACAGTTTAATTGTGATTTCCAACATTTCTCATTTATTTTTGCTATCGTGTTGACATATCGTAACGTATGGACCATAACCAACTAGGCGGAAGCGGTTTACTATCATATTTTTGAGATGCCCTTTAACATAAATAAAGCAGTATCTTTACACCTTTGTATAATAATGACTTAAAAAATATTTTTGGATATTGGAACGTGCCTTGATAGTGTTTTCTGCTCCATCTACATCAATGTAATGCTACCTGCGGCTGCTTCACGAAATTTATTTATGTTTGATTTGGTTAATATCAATAATTTTTAAGAAAAAAATACCCGTGATGTTATGAGAATTACAAAATTTTCAAAACGGAGAACCCAGTATTCGAAATCGGTTCCATAATTTAAAAAACTGTACCAAAATAGTAAGTTTTGTTTAGCTCCAAACCCCAGAATGGTTCATTATATGGTAGTCAAAAAATTTTGATAAATGCATTTTGTCTTGTACGGTAGAATAGCATCTGATTATCTAGTAATATTTCAAAACTCCACAAATTGACACATGACACAATTCTGACAGATCCGTCAGCAAGGTAGACAGGGCCGTGTTTTGTTTTGGTTTTTCGTACGCTACAGATTCATTTTGTACTTGCTAACAACTATTTTATTTAGAAAAGTTTATTTGCATACAAAAAAGCTAGATTCTTTATTGCCAACGTTACAGACTAATACAAAGATGTCACTTGCTGATCAACCGTTCACCTAAGTAGACGTCAAAACGTGATGGATACTCGTAAAATGGGATTTAATAATACAGGGTTCTGCGCAAAGGACGGACGGTTTTTAAAAAATCACAAAATCGGTAATTTTTACTCAAAAGCAAATTTATTGACGCATTCAGGTTCACAATGAAATAGAGTTTATCACAATTAATTGTGGAAAATCATGTCAGTCATATGGTTCTTGAAAATTTGCGTAGAATGTCTCCAACATCGTTCTCTCAACTTGGGCGACTTCCACTCTAATTGCCTCCTCCAAATCGTGCAGAGTTCCGGGTCTGTGCTCGTATACACTAACTAGCCTTGAGGTGTCCCTATAAGAAAAAATCGCAGGTGGATAAATCTGGGGACCGAGGAGGTCAATGAACATCACCAAACCTGGAAATAAGGCGATCACGGAAGAGAGAGCGAACACCCAGTACGAGGTACTATGACTTGTGGTAGGGCCATACCTTCTAGAGATTTGTAGTTGATGTCTGTAAGCCCACATTTTTCGGGATTCAGATTTAATGTGCCTATTTTGTATGCGTATGCAATAAAATGTAAAACAAGAATGCTCTACGTAATGAAGTGATCATAAAAATAAAGCTGTTTGTTTCGAGCTGCATATTTTGCAAATTTACTTTAAAAATCTTTCACCTCGTCGAGTAAAACGTCGAATATTTTTAACCGCCGATGACACATTCACATGGAATTCAATTCACCGGAAATTTTCAGAAGTTTCCCGCACATTGCAAGGTCATTTTTTTTCCTTGCGTTTATTAACATTTTGAGGAAAACAGAATTTTACGGTTTCCAAGTCGTTTATGTACCTCCATAGCGTTTTATTGCAGTGTAACTTGAAAGGCTGCGGTGGTGGAGGTCTATAAAAAGTCCACCTAGAAATATTTCTAACATCTATGTTTATTTCATGTTTATCAAATTTTCATTGGCCACCGAAAATTTTAGAGACATAATGTCCAAAATATGTCGATATAATGGAATTTTGGATAACTACGTGTACGTCTCAAAAAATGGGACATACAAAAGAAATTGCACCAAGTAGGTTGACTCTGCACTTCTCAGCTAACGCTGTTATCAGTTCACAGAAAAGATACCCCTTTGAGGGAAAGCTAGTTACAAACATGTATAACAATTAAGTGGATAATAAAAAATCGTGTAGGGCCATATGATTGGTCCATAATCCCCAAAGACACTATAGAGCTTTTGTGCACTTGCAACTTTCTATGAAGATTTCATCAAAATCTGAGCGGTACTTTCCAAGTTAAAGACAGGCCAAAGATTAACTGACACATCGACTGAAATGAGTGACATGGTTTTTCGTGATTTAGATGTCATACAGCATCCAAAAAACATAATACAGTGGACCTCCGGTAATCCGACAAACATTATGCAGGGCAGTGTCGGACTATCGAATTTCTCGGATTATAGAGCACTGCCTAAGACCCCCTATAGTCCGGAATTTTTTTACAATCCGACAAATTACATATCCAATGGTAAGATTATATACGTTATGTATATGTACAGGTATCTACTTTGAAGTACAAATCATACATAGTTTATGTATGTCGAACTTAGTAAATTAAATAACAATAGAGAGCTTACGTTTTATTATAAATTAAGCATAAATGCACATCCATATATGTACCAAAATAATCAAGAATTATTAATCAAAATCATTAATGAATTTATCAAATTATGAAGCTTGGAAATATTCATCAATTTTTTTTTTGTTTAAGGTTGTTATAACGCGAGATCAGAGCTTTGTCCCTCAGTCTTCTCAAAAGTAAAGGTTCGTTGTAGGATGTACCATTATAAACCTAGCTCCAAGTCGTTAATTGCGTCTTGTGCTGTGGCTTGTGGAGTAGTTGCAATCACGTCGTCGTTATTTTCCTGATTGTTTGTTGTATAATTAGAAACCTCTTTTATAATCTCTTCGTCAGACATTTCATGAAAAACATTTTCCTCTTTATCCATTCCACGGCACCAGATTCCCAAATCTTGCGGACTTATCTGTGGTTCAGTGATTTGTGGAACGTTGCCTAGGAGTGGTGACAATATCTGGCCATAACTTTTTCCAAGACGATTTAATAATTGATGACGATAACGCATTCTACGACTGACAAAGAGCAAACACCAAGTCTTTCATATTAAATTCTTTTAAAGTTTTTTCTATTGGTTGATCTTTTGAAATATTATAGTCTTGCTTGACAAACTGAATAATATTCTGGTCCATTAGTTGAATCAGTGCAGTGCAATTTTACTAACGCTCTAAAAATGAATATTTCAGCCACAGTAAAGAATCAACGTTGGCGGATTTTGGTTCTTGACATCCTTTACGATCGGTTACGATGCCTAGAGTACGGAGAAATGTACGATTTCGTCAACTTAGTGAGTTTGATAGGGGCCGTATAGTGGGACTTCGGGAAGCTGGACTTTCTTTTCGGGCAATTGCAGTTAGAGTGCAAAGTAGTGTAGACACTGTGGTTAGGTGTTGTCAGGCATGGCTTCGAGAACGCCGTACGCAAAGAGCAAGGGGCACTGGACGCCGCCGTAGAACAACAGACCGTGAAGATCGCCGCCTAAGATTATTGGCCTTAAGGGACCGTTTCTCCACTACCAGGTCCATTGCAAATGAATGGTTTGCAGAACATGGAAGACCTATTGGCATGCGAAGTGTTTACCGACGAATGAGAAGTTTTGGCTTGTTTTCATACCGGCCACACTGGGTCCTCCCTTTAACTCGAGAACACCGACGTAATCGCCTTGAGTGGTGCAGACAACGGTCACTCTGGGATCAGGAATGGAACAGTATTGTCGTTAGGGACGAGTCTCGATTTTGTTTAGGCATGCACG